ATTATGCTGAACAAAATTTATAATTTAAATTGAATTAAACTTATTTTAATTTAAATTGGTTAAATCATGATTTAGTTAAAATTAAGTCAGACAAATTGATAAATTTATGAACATATTGTGTTAATAAAATAATAATTTTTAAATAAAAATAAAAATAATATTATTTTATTTTATATATATATATATATATTATAAATTAATTTTATAAAATATTTATTTTTTAAGAATAAAATATGATAATAAATTTTTAATAATCTTTTATTTTAATATTTAAGTGAATTAATTATTTAGATTACTAAATTATTAAAAAATAGCAATGATAATAAAAAAGAAGTTTTTAAATTTTATTTTGAAATAAAATAAGTTTATTCTTTTATAATTTATATATTAAATTATTATATCTTAAAAAATAATTTTATTAATATAATTTAAATTTTTTAATTGTTTTTAAAAATTTTATTTAAAATTTTTTAATTAATTATTTTAATATAAATACGTTATTTTCAATCAGGCAAAACATACATGCATCAAAGTAGACCATCAATATTTTAGTTAGCTTGTAAAACATGATAAATTGAGTTGGACGATAATACTATTACTAAAGAAAGCGTAATTAAAAATTAATTATAAAAAAATTTATTGTAATTATCAAATAATTGTTATTTAAAAATTATGAAATAAAATATTAGAATAATATATATATATATATATATATATATATATATTAAAGAAATACTCCTTTTATTTTATCTATGTTTTGTTTAAGATTCTTTTGAAGAAACTATTAAATATAATAATATTTAATTTTATTAAAATATTTATAATTTTTTATTTTACTCTTTTCATTTTTATATTATAATAAAGAGTAGAGATATAAATAAAAAGAAATCTATAATATTATTTTAAACTTAAATAAATTAAGTTGAATAAAAAATATTTCACTCTGAAGGTAATCAACCTAGAAATCTTCAGGAATAATAATAATAATCTTTGGATCACCGTGACATTAAAAAGTTCTAATTTTATATTCAAGGTGTGTTCTTGCTTGCATCACCATCTGGATCAGGTGTATGAAACATATTCCTAAATTAATGTTCACTGGACCAGATTCTTGAAACATTTTTTTTTTCTGGTATTGTGGTAAAAATGAATTTGGAATCAGTAAGGAATGTGTTTTGAGGAAAAGATACAATAAAACAGCGATTATATATTTTTTTAAGTGATTTTTATTGACATTTGAAATAGTAAATTGAAACATTGCATGTGATATATATACTGTGGCTGAGAATCCTTGGTGGTCACAATTTGTCCACTAGGAGAGGGACTCTTGAACCAGAATTAATATCATTCAGCCACAAAAAGTGATACAATTAACTATTAGTCTTGTCTGCTTTTCATTAAATAATGCTATTTGTTATGTTTCTGTGAGTATAATAATTTTTATTTTTAAATCTAATTTTTGTTTTCTTTTGTTATTTATAATATTTGTTGCCATTTGTTTAAGTCTTGAGGTAACGTTAGGGAATAAAAACAACATATTATATCTTGTACGGACATAAAGCTATAATTATTAAATTAGTCAGACTGTAAAATATATTAATTTTTAGAACTAATATAGATATGATGATGAATACTGTAGGAATAAAAGTTTAAAAAATAAAAATATAAAAGGGCTTCTCGTATTTATGGATGAGTAGGATTTATCGTCGAATTGGACATAAAAGAAAACTATTAAAAATCTATTCAAGAAATTAAGTTAGATTAAGTTCAGTAATGTTTAACCTAATAAAAAAATTAATTTAATATGTTTAAATTGGATTAAATTTAATTGATTTATTTAATCGAGTGCACATCCTCTTGATATAATTAAGAATTCTTTTCAAATAAATATTTAATTTAAGTGAGGAAATATCGTTGAAGTATTCTTTTAATAATTTAATTTTTTAATTATACTTAGTTGGCTTTAGTTTCTGGAGTGCAAAAGGAAGATGAAATTAAAAATAAAAATGATTAAAGAGAAAAATAGAGGTAGAAAGACACATGACATTAAAATAACTTGTTCAATAGACAGAAAATAAATTATTGAAGCATTTATTCATTGTCTCACTCATTTGTCTTTTTGTTGTTGAATAGCTCAATTATTTGTTATTATACTTAACAAAATATATAACTTCTTATATTTACTACTCATCCACGTAAAGCATCAAAATCAATAACCATATAGAATTTTTAAAATTTTCTTTATATAACTAAGAAACTTGTGTGTCATGTTTAAACTACTCTAAAAATGATGTAGTGAAAAAACTCAACAAATTTTGATGTTATGTTTAAATTAAACTTCTTAAACATAAATTTGGATAAAAAAATGTTATAAACTCGAATTTGATAAAAAATACGAGTTTACGATTATATTTATATATATATATATATATATATATATTATAAATTAATAAGAAATAATTAAATTTTATTATATATAGAGATATATAGATATAAATATAGATATTTTTTCTTTTTTATAAGAAACAATAGTTTGACATCCTAAAGAAAAAAATAGCTTAACTATAATCATTTTTATTGATATAATAATAATTATTATTATATTATAATTAAAGAGGAATGGTTGGATGATACTTGAATGGATATATAAAAAAAAAGTTACAAAATAAAAACTATTCAAATTTAAGTCTGCCAATTTTAATCGAAACATTCAAATGGCAAGTAAAAAAATTACTAAAGTGAAGGAACAAAAAAATAACAAGAAACTAAATTAAGTGAAGGAAAAAGTGTGTTGGAACTACTCAAATGGGGGTGTCCAAACATCGAACCGTTTTCTAAAAGCTTATTCATTGTTATCACAAGGAAGATATGGACATGTTTTTTCCTTTTCTACAATAAATTATTATTATTATTATTATTATTGTTAATATCATCTTAATTTTTAATTAACATATATTTTCTTCGTATGAATTAAGATATGGACATGTTATTTCCTTTTCTACAATAAGGAAGAGGAAGAAGGTCACACAGTTAATGGGTGGTTTTCTGGTTTGTTTCACGTCCCGAAACGAAGCCGTTTTTGTTTAGCGAAGAGAAGAGAGCAACAAAGTGGTTGCTGTCAGATGAGCGTGCATACACACTGCATGCAAACACTGACACAGTGGACACTGAAAACACGAAGAGAGAGAGAGAGAGAAGAGTGTGGTGGTGTGAGGGGCCATCATTTTAACAGAACCTACTTTTACTTTATTACTTACTTCCAAGCCAGAACTGAACTACTAATAAAGCAGCTCATTATTATTATTCACTTTAAAAGCCTCACTTTAAAGTCACAAAACCAATTATTATTTCTTTCCTAACTTCTTTTTTCATTTTCTATAAAAGATGGACAACTTGGACTGTTGCATATTTCGTGAATGCTTTTGTTTTGTAGCTTAAGAGGCTACGAGAAGAGAATGGGAAAGGAGAGAAGGGTGGTGGTGGTGGGGGCAAGGGTGTTCATCCAAAAGTTTTGATCAAAGAGAAAGATAGAGAAAGAAGGAGCACTGTGATGATGGTTGGCTTTTTGTGTTTGTGTAGCTGCGGTGGCTGCCAAAGATGAGGCACAAGTTATCTTTTAGAAGGGTGGTCTTTTGGGTTTGGTTGGGTAGTTTGTGCGATATGTGGGGTTGTTCTTTCAGGATATAGTGTCACTCATGCACTGAACTTTGTGTTTGTTGTCGTGGCCACACCCCATGTTAGATTCTTCTTACTTGGCAGAGCCAGACATAGATGCCTTCTGATTTCAGATCTCTTTGATTAGCTCTGACTCTTTGCCTCCACCACTTTCCTTTCTTGTTATCTCCTTCTACTTGTTTTACACTCCTTGTCACGCAATCCACTTTGGTTTCTCGAATATTTATTGCGAGAAAGAGAAGAAGAACAATTCAGGGTCTGGTACGTATACTGTGTTTCTGTTGAGATTTATTCCTGTCCCTTCATATTCTTCCCTATCCATTCTCTTTGTTCATTGCAATTCGCTACATTATATAAAGGGTCCGAAGGTTTATAAAATATAAAAACTTTTGCCATTTCTGTCCTGGGTCTGCTTGATTTTGTTTCGCTGATTTTATTTTATTTTTTGGTGTATTGTAAATTAAGCTGGACATGAAAATCCGTTGCTGATTTTTTTTTGGGCTAATTGAAATCAATTGATGATCACGAAGCTTGATTTCTAATGTCTATGCAGCTTTCTAGATTTGAATTCTCAGAAAAATGTTGCTGTCCACCTATAGACAGTCTTGAATTAATGTTTTTTTTCCTAGGCCAAGTTGACATGTGCAATGATCATTGAAGCAGAAACCACCACTTTATTTCTTAGAAATTGGTGCCATTGTTCTACTGCTTCTATGGTTCTTCTCTTGATTCATACATGTTTTGTGTTGTGGCAGGTGCTGAGCTTTAAAGGAGGGACAAAGCTGAAACGTGTCTAGCAAAGGAAAAAAGGCGTAGTTCTTGGTGTCAAAGTAAGTTATTGGAACCAACAAAGAGAGAATAAAATGAACCAAATATCTAGAATCAAAAACATAATTTTATCATGGTTGGGGCGGTGGTGTCAGTTTTGAGCAAGTGGGGTTGTCTCTGATTTTGTCTTTGAGAAATTGTTTTTATGTTTGAGATAGTCTGTTTCTGTTAGCAATGTCTCCTAACATGGCCATTCTTTTCTGAGGTACTTAGACTGTTACCATTTTAGTAAGTAACCTTATCTTTGACACTCCCAAGTGAAGTGAGCGAAAGAAAACATTTAAAAAACTCCCTTGGCACGCTTACCTCGTTTTGTGAAAAAGATTCGGTCTTAATAGGAAATATACCATATTTCTATTTGATCCTCCTTTCCTCACTCTGGATTCTTGCAAGTTATCTGATTCTTTTTCAAATCTAAACTTGGGTTGGTTTCTCTTTCTGAAGTAGAGCACTATAAGGAAAAAAAAGGAGCAGCATAGTCATTTCCTTTGGGTAAGATGAAGTTTATGAAACTTGGATCTAAGCCAGATTCTTTTCAGAATGATGGGGATAATATCAGGTATGAGATCAATCTCCTCTCTCTACTTAGAACATCACTTCTCATGTGATGTATATGCAAGTTACTTTATTTCCCTTCCCCCCAGCTCTTGCTTGGGGGTTTGTATTTTGGGCTTCTTCTGGTCGATGCTTGCTTACTAGTTTCCTTATAAATCCCAGTCTTGGTTACTTTTCCGTTTGGTTCCTGATATTATTTCATTATTCTTGTGTTTTTCCTCCTCTACTCTCTGCTAATCAATCTTTATAGGCATCAAATCAGTTGTAGTCTCATGATTTTTGTCTTGCGGGACTTCTCTTCGTTTTTTATGAACATACAGAAATAATCAGTTTTGGACTTTTTCTTAAGAAAACAGATTCGCCAATAATGTAATCCTCCCTGTGGGTTATTTTTAAAATTAGAGGCTATCATTTTCTCCCACGAAGATGGTGACTCCTGATTTAGACTGGATTTGATCTATGCTTCGCTGTTCATGTATATATCATTATATTAGATTGTGATTGATTCGCTTAATTGAATTGAAGATAGGTTGGTTTAAATCCTCAATTTTTTTTTCTCTTTTTTATTTGTTTTTATATGTATGGAGCATATGTTACCACCATATCTTCAATTATTTTCATAACCTTTCTAATTTTCATGGGAATAAAAATGTTCTCTATCTGACAAGACAGATTCCTATTTTCAGTCAATAGTGTCGAACTAGAATGCAGTTCTGGTGAGATGCCGTGTGTTTGGACATTTGAATAAAAAATATAATATTAAAAAATGTATATTTCATTATAACGAATTCTTGTAGGATTTTTTTTAATTATTTTAATTTAAAAGTTACGTAATTCTGTGTTATATATTTGAGGATTTGTAAATCTTATCACATTTTCTATATTCATTTCATGCCAAATTGAATTTATTTCAGTGACTTTTTGTTGGATATGCTATTCGGCATAGCTTCCCTTGTCATTCAATTGACAGGATGTAGTCTACATACTCTATAGTATTTATTCATTTATGAAATGATATTTATTTAGGATTTCAATTCATTTTGTAAATAGTGTTTAATATTATTTGTTTCTCTATTCTTTGTTTCTTGTCCTTGATTTGTTACTTTCACTTAAAAGGAATAATTTCTAGCATATTTTTGTCAGGTATGTGGCAACCGAGCTGGCAACTGACATAGTAGTTAATGTTGGAAATGTAAAATTTTATCTTCATAAGGTAAGATTCAATCTGACGATGAGGTGATATGGTAATCTTTTGTATAGTCACATGTATATGAACTGCTAATTTTTCATGTGAACTAGACATCTCTTGATCCTTTTATAAGAAAAGAAAATCTGTAATTGATTCCAGCCTTTAAAGTTCTGATTATGGATATGAAGGATCACGCTGTGTGTAATTTTAATAGGTGATTGGTTTGTTAAATTCATCGATGCTTGCATGGTTTGCATTTCTTTTCTTGAGTGTAGAGAAATAATATATATATTTTTTTTTCAAAAGCCTTGTAAGGAAGTTGACAAACAAAAGAAGAGTGACTATTTCCTTAAAATAATCTCATCCAAACCTTCAACTCTGGTTTTGGACTTCAATATTTTTCTGCCTTTTTTTTATCATGACCTTAAGCTGCTCTGTACATGCAGTTTCCTCTATTGTCAAAAAGTGCACGCATCCAAAAGATGGTTGCAAACACTAATGAGGAGAACAATGATGATGTCCATATCCATGAAATTCCTGGTGGACCTGCTGCTTTTGAAATATGTGCCAAGTTCTGTTATGGTATGACAGTCACTCTGAATGCATACAATGTCGTTCCCGCTCGCTGTGCAGCAGAATATCTTGAGATGTATGAAACTGTTGAGAAAGGAAATCTTATCTACAAGATTGAAGTCTTCCTAAACTCTAGCATTTTCAGGAGTTGGAAAGACTCGATTATTGTTCTTCAAACTACCAAGTCCCTTCTTCCTTGGTCTGAGGAACTTAAAGTAGTGAGCCATGCCATTGACTCTATAGCTACCAAGGCCTCAATTGATACATCAAAGGTGGAGTGGTCATATACCTATAACAGGAAAAAACTACCATCTGAAAATAGTAATGATCCTCAATTCAATAGTGTGAGGAAGCAACAATTGGTTCCGAAAGACTGGTGGGTGGAGGACCTTTGTGAGCTCCAACTTGATCTCTATGAACGGATTATAACAACAATTATAACTAAAGGAAATGTTTCTGGTGCTGTAATTGGAGAATCTCTAAATGCCTATGCCTCAAGAAGGATGTCTGGCTTCAACAAGGGTGTGATCCAAGGAGGAGATGCAGTAAAGAATAGATTATTATTGGAGACCATAATCCGATTATTACCCGGGGACATGGGCAGTGTCCCTTTCAGTTTCTTGGTGAAGTTATTAAGGGTTTCTATTCTATTGGAATGTGAGGAGTTGGAGAGATCTGAACTGATTCGGAGAGTAGGTATGTGCCTTGAGGAGGCTAAGGTCTCTGATTTATTAATTCGGGTCCCAGCTGGTGACACAATTTTTGATGTTGACATTGTGCAAAGGCTAGTAGAAGAGTTTGTAGCATGTGATCAACATGTTCAGTTGGATTCGCTGTTGGAAGATGAATTTCAGGAGATCAGAAGCCCCGGGATTGTTTCAGACACTTCAAAGGCGAAGGTGGCAAAACTGGTAGATGGTTACCTTGCTGAGATTGCACGTGATCCCAATTTACCCCTTTCAAATTTTGTTAATCTTGGTGAACTAGTATCAAGCTTTCCTAGAGCTTCTCATGATGGCCTCTATCGTGCCATTGACATGTATTTAAAGGTAAATTCCTTGTACTTTAAGTTAGCCTGTAAGCTCTGTAAGCATATATCTGGCCAACTATCTTTTGCTAGATTTTCCTTTTCTTTTTCCCAAGCCAAAGTTTAAACATCAAATGGCTGGAAACTCGATTAGTGCCTTACTACATTTAGTGTACACGTTATTTCCCTCATTACTTTCTCGAATGATATAATGAAATCTTAACTGATACTATCTGTTAGATACTCATCTCTCTAAATTTTGATGGACATTTAGTGTCATGATTTTTCATAGAGTCCTTACATATTATTTCAACTTTGAAGACTTGAAATTGGCTATCCTCGTTGATTATAGAAAACAAATGAATTAACGATATTTACAAGGCTGAATGAATGTGCTATGTCATGCAGGAGCATCCTGGAATTAGTAAGAGTGAAAGGAAAAGAATATGTAGGTTGATGAACTGCAGGAAGTTGTCTGCAGAGGCTTGCATGCATGCTGTGCAGAACGAGCGACTTCCTATGCGCGTTGTTGTGCAGGTTCTCTTCTTTGAGCAGCTGAGAGCTACAACATCTTCAGGAGGCAATAGCACACCAGATCATCCTGGGTCTATCAGGGCCCTTCTGCCTGGTGGATCTCATGGGAGCTCAAGGTCTACCATAACAAACACAGAAGAGGAATGGGATGCTGCGGGAACAATTGAAGACATAAAATCTCTGAAAGGAGAACTTGATGCACTAAAATTATCAGGTGGAATCAGTGGGGCCAGTGGTGGAAACGACAATAGTGCTGGTAAAGGCAATGCTGAGAATGTTGCTGCTAGTAAAATGAAAGGTCTCATGTCAAAGAAGATACTGTCTAAGATTTGGTCAAGCAAAGAAAGAAGTGGTGAGCTAACTAGCTCTGATACATCAGAAAGTCCTGCTTCCACTGTTGTAGAGGAAACAAAATCTACCCCATCTAGAAGCAGGAGGCATTCAGTATCTTAGACCCTGTTCTGCATACCTTAGAGCTCCATTCAGTTATTGTAGAATCATGTCACTCAAGTAGCATAAGGAGTTAGAGGATACTGACATCTTCCAGCTGATACTTCAATCAGGTCCGTGTAACTATGAGCAAATGTTGGCATGTGGCAAAAAAATGAAGCACCAAAAGTACTTGTTAATCGGGGTTTTATCATGCCTCTTGGGATGCAACTTCTATTCAGCCATTACTAATATTAGGTTAGGTGTGAGCTCTAGAGTGAGTGACCCAGTTTTGATTATTGGAGACTGGTTTGTGACTGGCAAAATTTGTAATCTGTTTTAAAGGGAAGAGAAGGATAACTAGAACCAATCAGATAAGGAAGGTTTCAAAGTTTGTGTTGGGAGAATTACCTAGTTGTTATCCGTGATTAATGTTCATTTGAAAACTAATATGGACTGTGAAACTTGTTGGACTTAAATATTCACCATTATTTAAACACATAGGAGACATTAGGTGTGGTAAATTTGAATTTTCCAAATATCTTACAACTGAGAGATTGAGAGATCCGAGAGTTCAAATTCATTTTGGTCTTACAGCTGAAAATCTTTTACCATTTTTGTGAATGTATTACTCTTGTGCTTGTAGGAAGGGCTAGACAAAAAATAGTAAGAATTAGTTTGTCAAGAAATTCTAAAATATATACTCATTCTTTTCTTAAACAAAGAGTATGGTTTATAATAGCTTCAATTGTTTACACATTAAAACGACCAATATCTATAAATAGAGTTCCCCAACAATCCATGGCTCAACATCCACCTTGGCAGTCTCTATATGGGCTCACGACAACATATAACCACGCCAAAATTTACAGGTTCGGGCCGAGGATGTAAATGACCCTCAAGATTAGAATTAGGAATTACTATTACACCTCCTTCACGCTTTTCACACCCCTACTTTTTAAAATATTTGTAAAATACTTAAAAAGTAATTTCCATACTAAAGTTATATTTAATAAATTATAAATATTAATTTTGTAATATAATTTTTTACATATTATAAAAAATAGTCTTCGTACTATAGTGAAACATAACTACGGTATAAAAAAAATAGAAGTAGAGTGCAAGGAGATAAAAAAATGTGAATAAAAAGTATCAAAGATCCGTTTAATAAAAAGGAAAAAGAAACAGGCGAACAGAAAAATTGAAAATAAGAAAGGTACATAAAAATACTTTACAAAGTAGATATAAAATGTTTAGTTTAAAACAATAAAAAAAATTATAGAAAAAAAAACTAGTAGACATCGTGCATTTTTCTATTTCCCCTCACATTTATCCTTTTTATCAAATACACTTACAACTTTTATTTTTCTTCAAAACATCCTTCACCAAAAACATTTTGCCTTCTCTCTCTCTCTCTCTCTCTCAAGCTTCCCATTCCAAGTGAAGTGAGTTAAAAAACATTAAAAAAAAAAAAAAGAAATTCTCCCGACACAGCAGTCTTGGTATGAATATATTCCAAATATCATGGCTCCGGAATTTAGCAAGTTATCACAGAATCTAAACACTGCGTTGGTGGTTTATTTTTATTAGGTGTAAGTGGTGAAATAGGTATTTACAGTTACGGTGGAACTTCAGATTTTTGCCCAAATAGGAAAAAAGGAGCCTCTGGGCAAGATGAAGTTTTGTGAAGCTAGGAACTAAATCAGACCCTTTTCAAAATGAAGGGGATTATATCAGGTATCAATTCTCAATTCAATCTCCTCTATCTAATTTAGAAACCAACTTCATATGTCATGTATCCGCTAATTGTTGGAAAAACATTAATAATAATAATAATAATAATAATAATAATAATAATAATAATAATAATAATAATAATAATAATCTTGATTACTGATTCTAACGATTAAACATAAACATAATTACATACTTGATAAACATCTTGTAAGCTGAATGCGAAAGCGTCACTGAATTAGTCATAACGATGATGTCTTTGTAGAACACTATATTGATCCTATGGTCTTCCACTCGAAGAAGCACCTTTATTTCCTCTTGATTTTCTCTTTTGATGGGGATAGAAAGAAAGGAACGAGGAATGAAACTTACGTTACGTCCATGTGCTCCAGAAGGGGACCATGACCCTTTAGATAACCAGAATTAGGTTAATGACTTAAGTTTTAGTATTTCCAATTTGGCCCCTCATCAAATTAGAAATTGCTCAATGGTCTCTACACAATTTTATTTTCATGACATATGCCTTTAGCCAAAACTTTAATTTAGTCAGATCACTTTATTATTTGGCTTAATAAATAATGACCCTAACACATTTAAATTATGTATCATATATATACATGACCCAAATTTTGCCACCAATCTCTCACTGGTCACAAATATATATGTCCTTACAACCTTACAAATGTGTTAGACTTTATGAGCTCAAAATTGTCATTATATTTCTTTAGCATACTCCAAAAGTCCTGTCCATTAATCATATCAGGATATAGAACCAAACCAGCTTTTCATTGCATCATCGCAACTAAAACCAACAATGATTACTCATCCTAACATAACCAAATGACATGGATTCATCATGAAATGTGTAGCATGAAAAATTACGTGAAGGTGATCTGTACACGTCTATTTTCAACTGGTCCAAACTTTAACTTATCGAGATCGATATAATATCCTTAATGTACAAAGTGTAATGAATGAACAAAAAACTGCATATCTATAGATAACCAAATATGTCCAAAAATCAATGTATACATATATGAAATTAAACATAGAACATAAAATATATGAAAGTGACTAACTCCCACTAAACCACAAATTCCTCAAACTGTAAAACACCCATGTGAGCAACATGCTCATGAAAGACCTTGGGCGGAAGTCCTTTAGTTAGAGGATATGCTATCATGGAGTTTGTCCTTAAGTGTTCTATGAAAATCTGTCCACTTTGTACTCTTTCCTTAACAATACAGCTGATTTATTGTCACAATATAACTTAAGTGGTCTTTCAATGCCTTTCACAATTTGCAGCCTTGTGACAAAATTTCTCAGCCATATTCCATGATTTGATGTCTCATAGCATGCTACAAATTCTTGACATCCTGCAAAATCTGAGTCAAAAAACCCAGCGATCTCCAACTGGTCTGACCTCCTATATGTGAGCATATAATCTTTTGTTCTCTTTAAATATCTTATAACCCTTTTTACTGCTTTTCAATGGTCTATTCCTGGATTGCTTAAATATCTGCCTAGAACCCCAACTATATATGCTATGTCTGGATGCGTACATACTTGGGCATAGATCAAACTCCCTACAACTGATGCATAGGGAATCTTTTGTATTTCCTCAATTTCCAAATTCCCCTTTGGGCACTGATTGAGACTAAACTTGTCTCCCTTTAAACTTGTGATACACACAATCATCAACAATATTCATCTTGAAGCCAAATGAGTTTCATACCTTCTGGTAATGGGACAAGTTCCCAAACCTTATTGTCTTGCATGGACTTATACTTCTCCTTCATTGCTTCAATTCACTTTTGAGAGTTAGAACATTGTATAGCTTGACGGAAATTAACTAGGTCATCTTCCATTATATCATTATTTTCCTCATGTTCCTGAAGAAATACCATGTAATCATCCGAAATAGCACTTCTTCTTTCTCTAGTGGATCTCTGCAAAGTTATTAGCTCATGATGCACATGTTCTTGAGGATCTTGAGTTTGTTCTTCATGAACAACCAAATCATCTTGAGTAAGGGGTTCATCAACAATGTCTTGTGGGGGTTCCGAACTTACTTTATCAAAAGTAACTATTTGAATCGGTTCTGAAATTGTTACCGATTCTTCCTCCAAGATGAAGTTCTTAATCTTATTCTTCCCCCCAAACTCAATATCCTCAAAGAACTTAGCAGTTCCCGTCTCAAAATTGTCTTTAATGTGGGATCAATAAATTTATATCCCCTGGATCTTTCAGCATAACCAATAATATAACTACTTACTGTTCAGGAGTCCAATTTCTTTTCATTTGACTTATAAGGTCTTGCCTCAGCTGGACAATCCCACACATGGAAATGCTTCAGACTAAGTTGTTGCCCAATCCAAAGCTCATAAGGTGTTTTGGTAGCTGCTTTAGTTGGTACTCTGTTTAGAATATAAACTGTCGTATTTAGTGTTTCTCCCCAAAGTGATTCCAGTAAGGTGGAATGACAAATCATACTCTCTACCATATCTTTAAGAGTGTAATACAAGCCCAAACGTCACGATTTGATTGTGACCTGAACACTTGTGCCATAATGCACTTGAGTTTAAAAACAATATTAGACATGCTCATAATGTACTCCCTGATATTTCCTTTGCCTTGATATTTCATGGAGATCAAGTTCTGAATAAGAGTGTTTGCCTCCGCCTTATCGCTTTTTGCAAAGCGCTGCTCAATTTCAGCAAGAAATTCTTTGGCACTTGTGATGTTTTCAGAAACAGTGCCCCTAAACACCTCCGGGATGTCGCACTTAATGATCATTAGACTCATGCGATTTGAGCGATCCCACTTCTCATAATCTCTTTTCTGTTTAGAGGTACTTGAATCCGTAGGAGTAGGGGTTTGCTCGGTCCTTAACGCAAGATCCATATCCATGCAACCAAGAACAATATCAATGTTCTCTTTCCAGTCCTTAAAATTTGTTCCATTGAGGACCAGAACAAATTTAAATTGGCAGATACAGAAGTAATTGTAGCTTGAATTTAGAACACGAGAAACAAACTAATTATGCTCACATTATATAAAAAATAAATAATATATATTCAAATAGTGGTTTAACTCATCTCAAGACACCCAATGCACCATCAATATCAAGTCTTTGGACAGTAATATTAACTGCTAGAGGTATCTTGTTGTAATAATCAAACATTGACAATAAAACACGTCCAACAACAAACCAGTCTTTGGATTGATTTATCATCGACAAAGCAAATCTTTATAATTATCACATGTTTATCATTACAAGTGTGTATGCAATTCGGCCAAATATTAATCTTCCTTTGGCCCGACTAATACTCGCATGAATATACACAAACACTAACATTCAATATTTTTCATGAACTGCCCAATTCAAGAGAAGTTACTTTGGTGACTTCTTGACTCAATTTGCTCACAAAAAATATTAAACTACCAAAAATTGAATATTTTATTTATATAACAAAACCAAATATTTAATATTTGCAAACTAATTCAAAAGAGAATCACCTCATTAGAATTCTACTAAGGATGAACATCTTCCTAAAATCTCATTAGGGATGAACACCTCATTTGAATAAATCAAAGGATGAAAAAAGACCTCATCTTCCACCAATACATAAAGGATGAACATCTCCCTAAAATCACCCTAGGGATGAAACAAATATAGTTCTGAATCTCTTTAGCATACTGCTCTAAACCCTAAAAGGGAATTAAACAGTAATCACTTAAACCCTAATTTAACATCAAATTTTCCTTAAATTTCTAGGGGATAGAGGCAATAAAATAATAACAGCCACACATGTGGAAACATTCACCAGTTGCCTAAGATCCTCTATGTTGGGAATTCCCCAAACACCACCCCCAATTCCAAACTCATAAAATTAAATAAAAACAAAAGATTCAAAAAAGAACAGAGAACTCAATACAAGAAAGATTGAAATTTGAAACACTATTTCTTTCTCAATAAAACTTGAAACTTAAACTGAAACAAAAGGGAAAAACAAAGAAGAAGAAGAATTCATAGCTTCCTCCACGGTTCCATCAGCAAGCGAGAATGAGATTGGGGATGTTATTCCCAAATTTAAATTTTAGGGTTCACGAAAATGAGAGATTATTCTCCACTTAGGGTTCATAAAATTGGGTAATTTGAATTGTTTAAAACAAAATTAATCCTAATTTTCATAATTAGGGTTCTATAAATTAAACAGACATGAATCAAATATGGGCGGCTCGATACCAATTGTTGGAAAAACAATAATAATAATAATAATAATAATAATAATAATAATAATAATAATAATAATAATAATAATAATAATTCCGATTCGATTCTAACGATCAAACATAAACATAATCTCATACTTGATAAACATCTCTGTAAACTGAATGCGAAAGCGTACACTGAATTAGCCATAACGATGATGTCTTTGTAGAGCACTATATTGATCCTATGGTCTTCCACCTGAAGAGCACCTTTATTTCCCTCTTGATTTTCTCTCTTGATGGGGATAGAAAGAAAGGAACAGGAATGAAACTTACGTTCTGTCTATGTGCTCCCAGAAGGGGACCATGACCCTTTAGATAACCAGAATTAGGTTAATTACTTAAGTTTTAGTATTTTCAATTTGGCCCCTCATCAAATTAGAAATTGCTCAATGGTCTCTACACAATTTTATTTTCATGACATATGTCTTTAGTCAAAACTTTAATTTAGTCAGATCACTTTATTATTTGGCTTAATAAATAATGACCCTAACACATTTAAATTATGTATCATATATATACATGACCCAAATTTTGCCAACACTAGTTACTATCTAATTTGTGAAGTTATTATTTTTTAGCTCTTTGCTTGGGGATATGTGTTTGGTTTTCTCGTGTTTGATGCTTTCTTTTTATTTTCCTTCCAAAACTCCACTATTTGCTTCACTTCAATTTGTCCCTGGTAGTATTTTATAATTCTTGTGGTTTTTTTCTCCTTTACGTTGTGTAATTAGTTAATCTTAGTTGGCATCAAATCACTTGTTGTTGTTGAAAGTCTAGCCTGTTATGGTTTAAATATATGTTACGTCGTCAATTAGTTTTATCTTGGAACCTTAATATATTATCAGAGCCAAAAGTTATCCTTTAATTAAGTAAAAAACTTCGTTGAAGGTACGTGTTGAAAGTCGCATGTTGCCATAAATTGTGGTTTTGGTTTTGTTCTCTTCGGTTTCCTTGTACATAGAAGAGTGATAAATTTTGGACTTATATTCTTAGACAATAGATTGGCAGTAAATTTATCGTCCTAGTGATTCTTAATACTATGAGCTCATTTCCTTGCATAAAGATGCTGACTTCGGGTTTATACTAGATTTGAACTCTGCTTTGCTATTGGAGTAAATAACGGAAAATATGATTGACATAAGGCTGTAAGCTTTTCTGTTCGATGTGAGAACCATCATGGCCCATAGTAATGTCTTCCTGTTCTTTTAATGAAATTATCAACTGGAAATACTTATCTAAAATTTCCACCCTGCAATGTATGTTCTATATGCTTTTTGTACTCTTATGCAAACACAATGAATCACACTCTTCTGAGCTATCATATTCTCTCCTTCATGTATGAGTATAGAACTTGCTTTGACTGGCCATACTTGATTTTCTGTTCTATACTTTCACCATATTGATGGACAATATAAATCCATTTTATTTTTATTTCAGTAATGCCAACAAAAGAGAGAGATAATGATTTTTCCATTGTGCACGGTTGAGAATCTTAAATACAATAATTTTCATACCATGTCCTTATTTAGTGGTATGTTCAGTAAACTTGTCTTGTGACTTTTGCTCCCTGCTTTTTTTTCTTCTTCTTGATTTATTTCTTTCATTTAAAATTAATGTGTACCAGCCTTGTCAGGTATGTTAGAACTGAGTTGGCAACTGACGTGTTAATTTATGTTGAAAATTTAAAATTTTATCTCCATAAGGTAAGTTTTAATCTGCCGTTCAGGTGATGTAGTAATTTGATACATAGCTCACATGTATATGGACTGCTAATTTTTCATTTTAATTAGGGAATCTCTTACTTCCTTATTAGGTAGAAAAGTCTGTAATTCATCTATGCTATTTTGGATGTGAAGGGTATTAATTTCCATGTCCTGTCAATACTTATTAAAAGGGCAGTATGTGGGATCAAATGCTGTTCTAAATTAGTCTAAATCCTTTCTTGCCTCTTGAACACATGGAAATTTTGATTCTTAATGTATCATGAATACTAGTCTAAATCCTTTCTTGCCTCTTGAACATCAGTGTGTTTTAAACCCTTCTGGTGATCGAATTTTTAACATTTTACAAACTGTTCAGGTACCTAGACGCTTGAATTGCATGTAACAGTTGGTAAACACCCTTAACTGGATTGCATATTAGCTTTTACCCACTTACTGCAATAGGTGATTGGTTTATTAAATCCATTCTTGTTTGCATGTTTGGTGTTTTTTATCTTTGTATTTTTAGATTTTTTTATTTTTTTTTCAAGACTCTTGTAAGGAAGTTGGCTAACATGGAAAAAAGTTATCAATTTCACAAAACAATCTAATCCAAACCTGCAAGTCTGATTACTGACTTCATTATTTTTTCTATTGTTCTTTGTGACCATAAGCTGCTCTAAATATGCAGTTTCATGTTTTGTCAAAAAGTGGATGCTTCCTAAAGCTGGTTACGGACACTGATGAGGAGAACAATGATGAAGTCTATATCCATGAAATTCCTGGTGGATCTGGTTCTTTCGAAATGTGTGTGATGTTCTGTTATGATATGACAGTCCTCTTAATGCTTACAATGGTGATGCAGCTCGCTGTGCAGCAGAACATCTTGAGATGCATGAAACTGTTGAGAAAGGAAATCTTATCTACAAGAGTGATGCCTTTGTCAACTCCAGCATTTTCGAGAGTTGAAAAGACTAGATTAAGTCTCTTCTTGCATGATCTGTGGAACTTAAGATAGTTAGCCATGCCATTGACTCCATAGCTACCAAGGCTTCACTTGATAAGGTGGAGTGGTCATACACCTAAAACAGGAAAAAGCTACCATCTGAAAATAGTAATAATCTTCACTTCAATAGTGTGAGGAAACAACAGTTGGTTTCAAAAGATTGGCGGGTGTAGGACCTTTGTGAGATCCAACTTGATCTCTATGAAAGGGTTATAACAGTAATTATAACCAAAGGCATGTTTGTGGTGGGGTAATTGGAGAAGCTCTAAATGCTAATGCTTCAAGAAGGATACCTGGTTTCAACAAGGGTGTGATCAAAGGGGATATATTGTTCAGAATAGACCATAATTCGAATATTACACGGACGCGAACAGTGTCTCTTTCAATTTCTTGGTGAAGTTATAAGGGTAACTATTCTGTTGAAATTTGAAGAGTTGGAGAGATCCGAACTAATTAGGAGAATAGGTAAGTGCTTTGAGGATATTAAGTTGTCTGATTTATTATTTGTGCCTCAATTGGACACAGTTTTTTATGCTGATACTGTGCATTAGGTTAGTAGAAGAGTTTGTAGTGTGTGATCAACATGTTCGAACGGATTCTCTATTGGAAGATAAATTTCAGGAGATCAGAAGCTCCGGGATGGTATCAGACCCTTCAAGCCTAAGGTGGCAAAAGTGGTGGATGGCTACCTTGCTGCTATTGCATGTGATTCTAATTTACCCCTTTCAAAATTTGTTAATTTTGGTGCGAACTAGATCAAGCTTTCCTAGAACATCTCTTGATGGCCTTTATCAGGCCATTGACATGTATTTGAAGGTAAAACCCCTTGTACTTTAGGTTAGCCTATGAGCTCTGCACGGAGTATATATTATATAGTATATACATCTGATAAAGTAGGGTTGCTCAGGTTTTACTTTTTAAACATCAACAAGCTGGACACTAAATCAATGCATTACTACATTTAGACTGTCACCTTCCTCGTATTACTCGTCTGAGGAGATATTCTAATAGGCTAAAAATAATGAAAGCTTAAATAGAGAATTACTGCATTACAGCATTTAGACATGTTATCTTCATATTACCTGCTCCAAGGAGATATTCCAACAGACTACTAATAATAAATCTTAATTGGTCCTATCTGTTTCATATAAACCTCTGTAAATTTTAATGGTCTTTTAGTGTGAATATTTTATGTCGGCCTTATATGTTATTGGCTATCCTTGTTGAAAATAAGAAAACAAATGGATTAATCTCGTTGATATTTAGGCCTTTAACCCGTTAACTATATTTCCCAGGCTGACTGAATGTATTGTCATGCAGGATCATCCTGGAATCAACTAGAACGAAAGGAATAGAATATGTAGGTTGATGAACTGCGGGAAGTTGTCTGCAGAGGCTTGCGTGCATGCTGTGCAGAACGAGTGGCTTCCCGACCCAAGCATATCGTTATGCAGGTTCTCCTTTTTGAATAGCTGAGAGCTACAACATTTTCCGGAGGCAACGGCATGCTGGATAATCCTGGGTCTATGAGGCCCTTTCTTCCCGGCGAATCTCCTGGGAGATCTAGGCTTACTAGAACAAACAAAAAATGGAATGGGATGTTGTAGGAACAGTTGAAAATTGAAAATGTAAAGGGGCACTTGATGCACTAAAGTTATCACTTGGAACCAGTGAGGCCAACCGAAATGCCAATAACAGTGGGAAAAGCATGAGAATGTTTCTGCTAGTAAAATTAAAGGTCTCGTGTTAAAGAAGATACCCTCTAAGATTTGGTCCAGCAAAGAAAGAAGTAGTGAGCTAAGTTTCTCTGATACGTCAGATAGCCCTGCTTCTACTGTTGTAGAGGAAAGAAAATCTACCCCATCTAGAAGTAGGAGGCATTCAGTATCTTAGGCCATGGTCTAGAGACTTCAGCGTTCCTTCCATTCAGTTATTTTATAATCATCTCATTCAAGTCATCGGGAGATAGAGGATACTGACATCATTGAGTTGATATTTCATCAGTTCAATGTAACTGAGCAAATGCTGGCATGCGGCTAAAAAATGAAGCACCAAAAGTATATATTGATTGTGTTTATATCATGCCCTTGGGGATGCAACTTTCAATCAGCCATTACTGATCTTAGGTAAGATGTGAACTCTTGTAGTGAGACCCCGTGTTGATATGGGGACTGGTTTTGGACTGCCAAAATTTGTAAACTCAGTTTTTAAGGGAAAAGAACTTAAAAAGGATAAGTAGAACCTATCGGATAAGAAAATGAGAGTTTGTAAGGTTTGGGTTGGAAGTATTACTTACTTTTAGATCCGTCATTAATGTTCATTTGAGCACAACTATGGGATGTAAAACCTATTGACCGGAACGTTCTTGAAACATAGGAGACACGTCTGGTAAATTGAAAATTTCAAACTAGCTTTAGATAAGATAACCAACCTTGTATGAGAGAGGTCGGAGAATTCAAAATCATTAATTTACGTGTTAACTATAAAATCATTTTCCATTTTCTTGAATTAATGAAGCTTGTGCTTTTTACTAACGGAGGTTCAACCACAAACATTTCGTAGTCACTCGTCAGTTTTTTCTCTATTTTTACCTTATAAAGGGCTTCTTTTACTGTGACACTTCATTTGAAGTTTAAGACTTTAACATTGTGACATGATTAGTATTGATTGTACTTAAAGCATGTGGCTATTGATTAGGCAAAAACATTTTAGAAATAAATGTTCTTGGATTAGATAATCAACCTCACAAATACAAATTCAATGCCAAAGTTAGCAAATCAGTCAAATTTAGGATTTTTGTTCCTCAAAAACCTTTTTTTTATCATTTACCGTTCATTTTAGAATGAATTTTTCAAGGTGTACTTTTTATACCATGAAATGAATGAGGAGTGACACAAGAAAATTATAAAGAATAAGACATCAAATTCTCACATTTAACTCTGATGCTTTAGATTAGATGAGGAAAGATAAAGAAATTTAGGATTTGTTTGTTTATTATTTTTAAAAATAAATTTTTAATTTTTAAAAGTTATAACAATATAATGAAAACGGTTTTTAAAATATTTTTTATTTAGTTTTTATTTTTATTAGTTATACTATATCGTTAAATTTTACTGTGATTTGTTATGTTTTTTTCATCTGCAATAGTTTTTAAATTAAAGTTATAAAATTATTTTAAAAATTAAAAAAAAAACTAAATACAAAAAATCCTTAAATCAAACTAATTGATCTAACTCAGAAAAAAAATGATTGGAATTATCCAAACCACTATTCAACCACACCTAAAAGGCAGAAGAATCTTTGTATAAGAACTAAAGTAACTATAGATAGTGAAGGTATCTCAATAGAAACAACTCCACTTGGTTGAAGAACATGAACAGTAAAATTCGAAGAGTAATGAGGTGACAACATAGGTCTATGAATCTTGAAAAGACTAAACCAAAAGAGAGAGAGAGAGAGAGAGAGAGAGAGAGAGAGACCTTGGGAACAATCACGGGCTTGCAATGGTCTATAGTAGTAGGGTTTGCTACTCTGGGTAGTGGATGAGGCTAGACCTATTAGAGAGCTACTAAGTTAGGGTTTTTACCTTTGTTTGATCGACCAAGCAAGCCCAAATCATTTCATTCTCCAATATTCCTTTTCATAAAACAAAACAAGTTGTAGATAGCTCTAATTAGACACAAGAGGAGCAACTTTTGTAAATTCTCTTGACCTTGACCTATTATTGTTAATGGTAGATTGAGATATCCAAGTAATCCCCTAGCAGTTTAATAGTAATAGTGAATCCATGATTGGACAAACAAACAATGTTGTCAATGTTTTAGGATTTTTCCTCGTTGCTTGGCCTCTGATTCTGATGTCAAACAAGAATGATTTGCATCCCCGTTCACAACAGGTGGATTGTTTTAACTCTGAATTGTCACACACTAACTTCCCGACATCTATGGTGACAGTAGTCTAATCCTACCTTAATGTAGGTAGAGAAAAAACACATGTTTGTCCTCCAAAAGCATGTTTACTGATATATGATGATCCACTTATTAACTGTGTACATGGAAAAGAACCGAAGAAAAACAAATGAAAATCCACCCAAATTTGACTTTAACTCACCATTTGTCCTTGTCCTTAAAACAAACCACTCAATTGAACTTTACATGGGGGAAAAATGAAGAGAAACACTCACGGCAACCACTTGCAATTAACCTTTCTTTACTTTGGAAAATCACCCATTCAATCTCCCTTTTTATAATGCGAATCATAGATCTTAATCATTAATCTAAGAATATTCTTTAATCAATAATCTAAGACTCCCTAGGTCCACTTCGAACAAATCTTTTATGAAATATATATAAAGATCATCTAACCAGATTTTTCTCTCCCCTAATACAATATCTTTTTCCATTTCTATATCATAGAATTAAATTTGACAAATATCCACACCATTTTCTACTTCCTTTATCCTATCTAATCAAACATAATTAAAAATGCAAAGTAGGAGAAAATATTCCACATATAAACCAAGCTATTAAGACTAATCAAGTTCGAACTTTTCCTAACACTTCCACCCATAATCCCATTTTGGTGATTTCATTATTGGATAAAAGAATAGAAACTATTGTTGAATCACCCAACCCCATCACTTTTCCTTCGCAAGACGTGGACAAATTATAGTCGCTTCTGCATTTTCTTCCCAACCCAACCGGATTAGTAGCAATGTGTCTAATGAAATGAAAGTTGTTGCTCCAATTTCCACCAACTCTCAACCTGACACCACAAAATTTTAGATATTCTAAATTTTCTATGCCATGGATTCCTGATATTTCACACTGAGACTATTTTTCGTCTTAGAACAATATTTTAGCAGTTGTACGAAGTCTATAAATAGTAAAACATTTTTTTTAATTTAAATATCGAATATTACACAATAGGTACACTGTTCGAGTTATTTTATTTTTTAAAATTAAATATTTTGTTTCAAATAAAATAAATAATATATAAAATATAAAGATAAAAAATAAATATCCCACACCAAATTGAATAGATGGCTGAATAATTGATAAATTAAACTAATAAAATATTATAAATTAAAATATAAAGATGCTAGTTGAATTCTATAAAATCACTCATGATGTAAGTTACTTAAATTTATCATATTAAAGCTTAATCATTTCATCAACTTATTAAATTATTTAAATTTTAATTTCTTAAGAAAAATGAATCTAAGTTGATTAACGTCGTTTGTAAATTATAATCAATCAAATTATTGATTAAGAGTTTTAAAAATGTATAATGAAACATATTAAATATACTAAAGCACTTTTTAAATATCACCATTTATTTTTCAACGAGTTTCAAATACGCATAATAAATTAGTTATTTTCTTATAAAAAATTATTTAAATTTGCAAAAAATCTATTTCATATAATTTTTATAAAAAAAATTACAAAAATATTCTTATAAAATATGAGAATTTTTAATAATATTTCAAATACGCATCTTTATATAATTAAGCATTTTCACCAAATTCTAATTAATCAATAAAATAGTGATTAAATTTACACAAACATTAAACATATAGAAAATTAATATAATTGAAATTAATTTTTAATAAATTAAAAATTAAGTATTTATTAGAGTCTGAGTCTTGTTACATGAAATCTTAATAAAAGAAAAGTTAGTAGTGACTCATATTTTTATAGAAAAAAAAATTAATGATAGAGAATTAATCTATAATGAATGTTCAGAGAGATGTTTTACGATCGTCCCTATAAAAATTTAGAATATATTTTCTTTCATGATTTTGCTTAAGGGAATAAAAATGATGGTTTAACCTGATTTTTTTTTATATCTTTTTATTTGAGTGAAAAGATTCTGTCTTTAATAAATCTTTGCCTATTTTATCTTACACTTTTAAGAAATTATTTCATTTATTAACAAAGATAAAATAATAAAAAAACACCTAAAATAATTTTTAACAAGCAATAAAAATCAGAAAATTAAACATGTATTGAATAATGATTGTTAAAAACATTATTATCATTATTTGATGATTGATGAAATACATATTATATTTATATTAATTATATGTTTGGAAGGAAGTGAAATTTACATAAACTTGATACATGTCATCGTCATAATCTGGCGAGTAGTTTTCAATATCCAAGAAAAAGAGGGTGTGTTTGCTGAGGATGTGTCGCATATTATAGGATTTCAATTTTCAAGATTGTTCTAAGGTTCAATACATTACTTCAATCTCAAAAATAGAGAATTTTCTATAATTTACTCACATTCTCACTCTTTCCACACACCCATTGATTTAGTAGTTGAAATATCTTTCCACATACTGTGTCCAAGTCTTCACTGTCACCTTTATTAATCTAAAGCATACCTGAGGAACCTTTATTATGAGATATATATATTTTTATCTACTCCATCATATTGAATTTTTAATTTTGATTTTTAAGTATGTAATATGCCCCATTTAATCAAAATTATACAAACAAAACAATTAATTGATTTCATCTATAGAAATGTACGTCATCATTTTTGGAGTAATTTATAGCAATATCTTTTAAAGTTTTCAGATAGATTGGTACTGACCACAAGGTTCCTCCATTATAACACGAGATAACAAATTAAAATAAAAATCTCCACTTTCTTATTTCTTGTGATCTCATTTAGGATAGATTTAGATTTAATTGATATTAATAAAACTAATTTCTATCAAGGAATAATTTGTATATTAATCATCTAGTTATTAAGTCTAAGTATGAATAATTGCTTACAAGATTTTGTGGATTTAGGTAAATACAATAATACCTCGCACTACTCATTCCCCTACTATATATTTATTTCACGTCCTCTTCGAATTAGGTTTTAATTTATGGGCGTTTTTCAATTATAAAACTCTATTGTAATTGGAGCCAAAAAAACCGTACTATTATAATCTTTCTGAGATAAAAAAAAATGTTGAATTTGGTTAGGTCTACAAGTACCTTTTTTCTATTTGTTTTACTCTTAAAATTATTTTATCTTTATTTTTTTACTTAATTAAACCGTATTTTGTAATGGAAACATGTTAGCAAATGTCTTTATCATATTGATTAAATAATTAAAATAAAAAATTATGAATAGATTTTAATTTTAATTTTCTACATAAAGTCTAGTACGATAACAAAAAAATATGATTTATTAAAAATATTGGACAAAAAAATGAATTGAATCCCCAACTTATGATAAAATGGGAAAGAAAAGGTGATGGCATCTGCTTCACATTTATTTGTTGCTCCAACTAAACCCGCCCTCTTCCTATCTCATAACGCATGTCATTTTATAATTATTAAAATAATACCAAACAAAAAATAAATAAAATTTATAATTAGATTACTAAAATTTAAAAATATATATGAAATTAATATGTGTGAGTTGAACAGAATTATTATATTCGTATTGATAGTACTTCTAATATTTTATAATTAATTTGATTTGATGATTTAAAAAAAAAAACTATATTTCTTTCGTTGTTACTTCTTTTAGTTTTAATTTTATGTACATTTATTCGATCCTAAATGTTAAAGATTTGGTACTAAGTGAAAGATTTAATTCCTACCAAGTAAATAATATTAGGAATTATTTGTTTATTAATAAATTTACCTCCTCTTTTCTTGTACTAAGAAAGACAGGTCACTAAAGTTATTGTTTGGAAACATAAAAACTTATTCAATTTAGGAAAACAAAACATATAGTTATAAATGTAGCGATTTTAATAATGGAAAATGAGTTGATATATAGATATAACCAATATAAAAAAAATTAGATTAAATATGTTTTTTTATATTTTTTATAAATTTAATTTTAGTCTCTATATTTAAAATTATTGACGAGTCCTCGAATTTTAAAAGTTATATAAATTTAATTTTTTTATCAATTTTATAATAATAATAAAAGATGTTATTAAATAATAAATAAAAATATAAAAACTAAAATCATAGCCAATCATTAATTAAAATAATCATCATTAAATATTAAATTCAAACATAGTAAATAATTAAAATAACACATTTTTATAAATATAAAAATCATAAGTAGTTGTATAAATAAAAATAATTGAAATCACAGACACCTAATAATAAAAAATATACAAATAAAAAAATATTTAATCTTAAAAATAATATTACTTAATGAACCATTTTACAAAACATCAATTTCATTCAAGCTTGCATAATTAGTTGTATAAATAATAATAATAATAGAAATCACAGGCACCTAATAATTGGAGTGTTTGATATGCTTGCATATCAATCAGAAACCAACTATAAAATTCTACTCTTCAATCTTAATATTTTACAACAATTTTGTTTACTTATTACTTTTAAAAATATAAAATATGTATTAATTTTACTTAATAAAATAAAAATTATACTCATTTATATATTATAATTATAATATTATAACTGTCAACCCAACTCAATTTTCTATACAACTTAAAACTTGCATATAAGTCATATTTCTGGACTTGATTAATTCAAGCATAAATTCTTTTTCTTTTCTACCCCAAATAGTAAATTCCTTCTTCACCTAACAAAAAGATTCCCTAACTATGAATCATGTCACCTTACACGTTTCACTATTAATTTTATATAATTTATATTACCAATTATAGATTAGTTATGAGTCTTTTGATGTTATAAACAACTAATAAATCATGTTCTTCTAATTATTTAGATATTGTTCTTCTTATATTATTTTTCCTTTTTTTCAAAATCATCAATAATTCTTTCACTATTTGAAACAATAGATGATAAAGAATAAGTCATATAAAAATAAATATGAGAATAGGGAGAAAGGTTTACTTAGATTAACAATAAAACAAATTTAGAAAGTTGTATTATATCAATATTTATTTAATTTAACACATTAAACATTCATCACCTTTTATTTTTTTCAAATAAATGGATTGGAAAGTGAAGTTGTAACTTCGTGCTCCTTAACGTTTTGTTAAATAATTTTTTTTATTATAATAATTTTTTTGTATCTAAAAACATATGCCATATTAATAGTAACATATATATTACCTTAACCTTGTTATAATAATAATATCCTTAATTTAACGACAAATATGAAATTAGTAAAACAGTATCTTTGTTTGTTTTACAAATTTTTTATATAAATTATGCTAATATATTATTTAAATTTTATTTACAATAACTTTCATACTTTGACAAACTTTTGAATAGATAACATATTTCAAATTATGAAAAATGATTGGTGAACACGACGGTGGTGAAAAAAACCCGCCTTATTTGATATTTAAATGAATAAATGGATAAAAAAATATATAAAAAACTGTGTAGAATGTTGATTTGAATGTTCAAATAATAAAACTTTCAAGATATACATGTACACTCTGGGATAACAAAACAGCAAGTGCAGACAAAAAAAAACACCTTTCCTCGTATTTGAACTATGAACTATGGGTTGTTTCTTATGTCACTATCCCAAAACGTGCATTCACTAAAGTCACAAACTACAACCACAAAAGGAAACGGAATCAAATTGAGAGGGAGTGATGATTATAAAGGTCAACTTAAAGAAACCAACACATTATCTCACTCATACCTTTTCCCCGTCTTTTTGTGATACACTTGCATCTAAGTGCATTTTAGCTTTTAATAGATTAAACATGAAACACAAATGAATTAGTGAATAGAAAATAGTTTGAGTCTCGCTCTTAGTGAAGGAGCAGACACGGGACATCATATATAGGAAAAGAAAAGTAAGAAACAATGAGATAGAATAAAAAAAAGTAGAATATTATTTGCTTGAGAGATATTGAAAAAGAGTCTCCTTTACACCCAAAATCTTTGAAGTAGTAAAACCAAATATAGCGTGAAAGAAGGTTAAACGTTTTTGTAGCGACGAGAAAAGTTTATGTTTTGCCTTTATCAGTTTCCTTAGCAAGTACAAAGCCTTTGCAGCATTATTAAAATGAAATCTGTTCGTCTTTAAAATATTGTTTCAAACTATGATTGGAATATAAATAACTAACCAAAAAAAAAACGTGATATACATTTACTAAAATAACAGAAAAAAAAAAGGCTAAGAGGAGGTTAGCAGGGAATTCCTTGAGGGAAAATGATGAGTTAGGAAGCACCTGGAACGTTGATAGACGTAGTAGATACGAGACAGCGTATGTCCCATAATGAATCTATGTGTCCAACCGATGTTTTCTCCCGATGGGTGTTAAGAAAAAGGCTAATTGCCTATATTAGGATCGCACTTAATGGCCACCATCTGATTCCCACTACCCTCAATAAGAAAGATACTAGGAACCCAATAAAACAAAGTTAAGGTCCCCACCCGCGGCATATTGGCATATTATTATCAAGGACATCAAAATATAGTCTAACAAACCTTACCTTCTTTAACAAAACTTTCACCACATGCACAATCCCAAATGGATATCCCCATTCAATTTTCACATCTACCGGTACAACATATTCCTAGTACTGTTGCTATATTATAAAACAAGGCCTTTTTCTTTTGTCAAAGGATAGGTGACTGTGATTGTAATTACTAATTTAGTAATTATCAGTTGACGTTGAGGATGTTAATCAAGATTAGAACTCTCTGGGATCAACAAAAATTGAGAATCCGGGAGGAGATTTGGTCCAATCACCAACAGAACCATCACTGTAATCTTCCCCGAGTCTCTTCATGCACCACAGATCCTCTTCGCAGGAGAGTATCTTCCAGTGCGGGATGGCGCAGCGTAGGGGTTCCTGGCTGGAAACTTCAGTAGCCACCACCTGGCAGCCACGATCCTTGGCGAGGTTATGAGCGAAGGCGCACAAAGCACGCACCATCTTCTGGGCCTGTGGGCCCTCCCCTCCGAGCCCGTACAAAAAGTGAAACCCAAACGGCTGGAATAAGTTGGGGATGGAGGGCAAGCGCAGCCAGGGGAGGGCGCGGTCGAGGAGCCGAGTGGTCTTGGCGAGCGTCTTCTTCACGCGCGACGCGCCCCTCACCTGGAGCGTGAACACATCCTTGCAGTTCCACACGCTGAGGAGGGCCCAGGAGGAGGGTGGGTCCGCGAGAAAGTGGGGCGCACCGGGCCACGTGTCAGGGCGGTATGAGCCGCGGGGAACGGCGAGGAAGGTGCCGAGAGAAAGGTTGTTGTTGAGGACGGAGTCGACGTCGCGCGGGAAGAACTCGGTGGTGGCGAACTTGGTGCGGTAGAGCAATTCGGCGTCGTTTGGGGCAAGTCGTATGATGGTGACTTTGGAGGAGGTCCTGAGTGGGTGACCAAAAACGGGGTTAACGAGGATGGACGGGGTACGAAACTTTGAGTAGCCGCATTTGTCGGTGAAGAGCTTAACTGATGCCACGTTGTCCTTTTCCGTTGCCATGTACGCGTACTCCGCTCCATTCTCTCTGAACCACTCCTCCACTCTCTGCACCAGCTTCAACCCTATTCCCATTCTCCTGAAATCCCACACACCCAATCAGAACCCACACTCTTGATAATGACATAACCAGTCTCTGAGCGAGTGAAAGTAAACAAGGTACCTGTGGTGTGGAGATACGCGGAGGCCTAATATGTAGGCCAGTTTGGTGTAAATAGGGACTTGCTTGGAACCATGCCTGTGGAGCTTCTTTCCGCATGTAACGGTTTTTATGCAACCTCTTATCATTCCCACTGTCTCTTGCCCAATTTCGGCAACCTGATAAAGACAAATTAAGGACGAATTGTCATTTATTTATACAAGTATCTGGTTGTTTGATTTATATAGAGTTGAAAAGTTGGTGAGAAAGACTTTTGCGCGGAAATAGTTAAAAAGGATTTTTGGTATGGATGCTTGCTCACTGGTGATGATAGAAAAACAAAATAAAAAAAAAAAGGGAACGGGGAAGAGGGAGATAAAAGAAAAGAAAAGAAAGAAAAGACGTTGATTATTAGTTGAGAATGAATATAATTATACCAGCATGAGGAAAGTAGGTGAGTTGCGGACCCTGCAAATAGGGTCACCATGGAGGTCGGTGAAGAGGGAAAGCTTTCCACTGGGTCCAACCTCACATATTCTTTCAACGGCTTCCACTCCTTCGCTGTCCTTATTTGGGTCGAACTCCCTCACAGTCACTTCCACCATGGTAGGAGAAAACGCAAATGCTAACTCTTCTCCCCTCATCATATCCACCAAACCAGTACTGAACGAAGAATGGAAGAAGAGTATGTGAGTGAAGATAACGTAGCCTAACCTCTCTCCCTTTATATAGAGGGAACCGCGAGGAAATTGCAGGTTTTTTGAGACCGATTATCCCGGCCTGTCCGCATGTAACATGAGCTTAGAAGCTGAGAATGAAGGAACGTTTGTTACTAAACTCGTAACGGGATCACTTGCTCTCTCTGGCACCAACTAGCCAACTGAAATAGTATAATAAAATATTGAGAGAGGGAAAAGGGCGTGAGTGAATGAAGGAAGAGAAGCCTATGCTATGCTATGCTATGATGCGTTGATAATCTGAGTGGCATCGCTTGAGTTGAGGTACAAATCCAAATCCTCTAACGGCCCTTTAAATACCTGATCTTTTCAGCTTTTTCTTTTGACGTTTTTTTAATCTCTCTCTCTCTCTAGTCCGAATCCGCACCACTTCCGCTATTTAATTCCTGGGTTCAATTTTAACAAGAATATGTCTTTATCTGCTCTCCCTTTCCTTTCTTCCTTCACTTTCGCCTTCTCTCTCCTCCACGGTTTCTTTCTTGTCTAAAGTTTACTAATAATAAAGCAAAATAAATGAATTTAACAAAAGCAATAATGAGCAGCAAAAGGTAGGAGAAGCTAGAGAGAAAGGAAGGAGGAAATGGCGGCTATGGCTGCGCAGTACTGTGGAGCTCTTTTCTTTTCCTATTAATTCATTTTAATTCTTTTTAATTTTTTATTAATTATGGAAAAAAATACCCTTCCCATCATCTCCCCATTCGTAATCATTACCCTTTTTACACTCTCTCCCTCTTCAATGGGTTCGGTCCCAGCCATGATGCACATCCACAGTTATCATGTGGGATGGGATGCACATGCATATTTCATGTGAGAAATTATCCATCACGCCATTCTCCATTTTTCTTCTTCTCTTCATTCATTTTCCCAGTAACTGTGCTCTACCTTCACATGGACAATGTGAACTTATCCTTTTTCACAAATAAAATTATTATAAATTCACTTTCCTATTCATATTCTCATAAACATTATTGTTATTATTATTATATTCAAAACAATGATTAACAGACTCATTATTAATATTACTATACTTGTTATCAATCACAGCTTGCATTTACACCTACTTACCTGTTTTTGTGAACAATACACCATGCTTTCCCAGTAATAATGGGATAGTTATAAAACTTTAAAATATAAAACCCAACTACAACTGCTGTTACTGAATATGGAAAAGTGTTGAAACTGCCCCTTTATCTTACTCTTTTGTTTCAGTTTTCATAACTGAACATTGAGTTTTAAGGTAATTAGACAATCATCCATGTCATTAGGTTAACCAGTAACAGAATAATGTTATCATTGCATTGGTACTTAATAGATATGTAAAAGTTTTTATGGATACATAGAATCATTATTCAAAAAAATAGGTAATACATTAATTAAGATAATAGAAAATTATGAGTATACCAACATCATTATCTAACATTTAAAATTATATATATATATATATATATATATAATATTAAGAATAAAAATAGAGTTTGTTAAATTAAATGTATAAACAAATTATATTTTATTAGTTGCAACGACCTAAAATTAACACTTTTACATTTAAGTTAGTTTTGATATCGGTTAAAATAACAATATTTTAAAAATTATATTTAAGATAATATTACATGTTATCATATTCCCATATAGTACATCAAGTAATAAAAAAATTAATCAATACATGACGATAAATTAATTTTCATATTTTAGATATACTTATACATGTTTTGATGAAATATGTTCTAAGATAAATATAACATCTTACAGGCAAAATTATTTTGAAACGCGTTCCACTAATAGACTCCATCATACGAAACATCTTTCTCTTAAAGTTAAAAAACATTATTCTTTTTTTTTCTTTTGTTAGTTAGTGAAAAAACATCATTGTAGAATCTTTGAACAATTATTTTTTACTCTTCCTAAACTACATGCATACGTTAAATGCTAGGTAGATTGAGAAAAAAATAATAAAATTAATATACTCTGGTTTATCAGTATACAGGTATATTGAATATATAAAAATGTCATTAAATTTTTAAATTGGATTAATAACATATTAGAGTGAAATTTTGAAAGTATTATCCATTTCCATATATTTGTGGAGTATGAAATCGTTGTTATTATCTGGCACACAGCTTATAAGTTGTAGTTGATTCCTGGGTGGGATGAGTCATGTGCAGGAAGCAAAGATTTAATGTATTTAGTTAGAGTTTGTATCAAAAAATGTTGAATTTTTTTTTTCATATTTATACGCCCTACTGATTTGTATGGTGATCCTAAGCTTGTACTAGTAGCAGGTATTAATAGGATGAGACTGGGTCATGCCCTACATTCAATTGCAATTTTATTTTTATGCATAATTTAAGAAGCAAAACAACTTCACTGAAAATTCGATTTCTCTTCATCAGATAAAATTTAAATACCTTCATTTATTTATATGTAAACTCGATTCTATCAACACTAGATATAGTGATGAATCTGATCAAATAAATTCTTTTATATTGCATTCATAAGCGCTTTCAGTGAAACCGAGTACCCAACATAATTCGTATTCTGCATAACATCACCCTCATTATTATTTAACAAAAAAAACACATTTTTTATTGTTAAATATAAATAAAATTTAACTATTTTGATATTATTTAATGATATTTTTCTTAAAACACCCAAAATCACATTTTTTATTGTTAAATATAAATACAATTTTACTATTTTAATATTATTTAATGATATTTTTCTTAAAACACCCGAACTTTTTTATTTATAAAATACTTTGCATATGTTTATTCTCAAATACAATAAGATCTAAACATAAATTAAAATGTATAGTAATATAGTTAAGTTTATAATAATTATTTATAAATTAAATATAAAAATATATAATAAATTTTAATTGATGTAGAATTGTATATTTAGGAGTGCATAGTGGTCACCCAAAAGTCTTTTAGCATGAAATAGGTGGACGGTGTAAGTAACTCTTTGCACGTGGATCACAAGATAGACATCCACGCAAACAGAAACTATTAAACTAAGCTCGTGTGTCTGTAGGCCCACCCTCCACATCTATAGTCACTGTCATTGTTCCATTCAACGTCTTAAAGGACCAAAATATTTATTTAAAAAAAATGAAAATGATAAAACTAGAAACAGAAAATTAAGATAAATACCAGAAACATAAATCGATGAACATATTAACAAACAATAATGTTTAGACACCTTTCGTTACTTTCTCGATGGTTAATTATGTGGATGCAAACGTAGGGGACCTACCCTCAGATATGATGGAGTTGGTCAAGAGTTCATGTTTGTGTCTAGTTTATGATGTCATATGTCATTTCAATTTTATTTCTCATTAATATCAAAAACACCCTCCACCCACCAATGAATAATGATAATATTTTGCAAGTAAATCACACATCAATACAAAAAAGTGACTATCTCTACACTCCCACTTTCTTTTTCACACTCATCTTATGACTCAGAGTTTAGCTCCTACCATGTGCACCATCTCTCAATACTATCAACATGCTCATAAATGCATCAATAATCACAAATCATGTCATATGATAAAGATGGTAGTAGTGCATTACAAAATATATTATCAACATTTATCTCTTACCAAGTAACCAACAATCTTACATTACTTATTCAGATTCTTGCAAGTGTGCATACCCCTATTCTCGGGTATCATATATAACCCATCAACATAGGTTATTTTAGTTAGAACCCGATTCTTTTTTTCGTTATTAATCGTTGCAAATTCGTGTTTATTCATATATATTCTGAACATCTAGTTCTTGGAATAGCTCAACTCAACCATGTCCAACAGATGCAATCAAAATAATTTATTTTTTAACTAATCTACCTACTAATTAATACACTTGTTTTGTTGCAAACCCTACTTCCATAACCTTACCAACTAATTTCCAACATGGGTGCAATCAAGTTAATTTAATGTTGTAACTAACTCTGTTCATTTAGTTGTTTCATTGGACATCTTAAGTTTTCAATTTAAAAAGATATTTCTTTCGGTTTACTTTTATCCTCTAAAAACAAAATCAAAATCAAAATCCACCAACTCTAGTTAAACAAAATGGAGCGTTTTTATTAGCTACTGTACTTTACTTATCTATCTATCTCAGTAGTTTATCATCGGGATATCTCCTTTATTTTATAAGTCCAATCGTGAAGTTAATTAATTATGTATTTAATTTTTCATAATTTTTTTAATACAACAACAGCCAACTAAAATTGCTTAATCATATTTTTGTCATCAAAATTAATAATAACTTTGATTTTAATGTCTCCATTTTTAAAATTAAAAATATTATTTTAATCTGCTAAAATCAATATTTAAGAAATAAAATCTTATTTTTTATTAAATTACAGAAACCAAGATAAATTCTACTAATTTAAGTAAAAAAAATCCCAAAACGAAAAAAATAATTAAAAATGAAAAATGAAACAACAATTGATTAATTAGTCTCCACCACTGTATATAATTCGGCCAGCCAATAGTTAGCACAGTAGCACAGTTCCACGGGATACATCTTATCTTATACTATTTTGTCTTATTCATTTATGAAACCTTTTCATCAACGTCATTATTTTCATTATGTTTTAAGTCAATTCACCACCCAATTTATGACAACATTAAGTTGATGTTACGGCCTACATCAAATAAAATGACCCGTATCCACCGTATTAATATAAAAGTACTGAATTATACACGAATAAATTGATTTGAGGTTAATCAAATGTATCTTTAATTTGCATTATTTTTTATTTATATTTTCTTTTTTTAATTTCTTCTTCCCCATGTAGCACAACCAGTGAACCAAACGGGGGTAGCACGTAAAGAAAAAAAAAAAAACCGATCGAAGTTTACGCATTATTCGTCTCTTAAAATTTGAAAATAACAAGAGATTTAAAGATACTGACTTACCAAGATCTTTATTTCACGTGTCCAAGCTGTTCTAAAATTCACTAGTCCTTAAAAATAAGAGATCTAGCTCACAAATTTATGCTACCAAGAACAAGAGAATAAGCAGAAAACAAGAAAGCAGAGAAA